TCCCATTGGTCAGCCCTGCATTAACTCCTCTAGTGTATTCCCATAGGACCTGCCCAGAACTGTTACAATCTGTTTGCTCTTCAGGCGCATGTGTGTAATGAGTTAGTGAGGTCTCAGTACAGTTCCTGACTGGGCAGGTGTCAGCTAAGCAAAAGCCACCATCGCAACTCGCACCAGGTGTCCCCCCCCGAATCGTGGGGGCTGAATTCCCCAGTCCGATAGCAGCTGTCAGGGGTGGGGTCTTGCATAGTCATGGCTGAGACACATTTCGGGGGAATTTCTTTGTCTGCGTTTTGGGCACCTTGTCTCATAATAACTGTGGAACATTCACTCTCCAGCTCTGTCAGTCCAACCCCTCTTTCTAGCCTCGATACATTTTAAATACAGAACAACCAACAAAACATGAATGGAAAATGGAAAACATGTTCCTCAAGGGGGAGAGTTTAATTGGACTGAGCCAGCTCTAGGGTCCCAGTCAAATGCCCACTGAAATCGATAGGAAGATTCCTATTAACGTCAATGGGTGTAAGGCCAGATTTTTAAGGATATTTAAAATTAATGTGACTTAGGCACCTAAGTACCTTTCAAAATCTGACCCCTTTGTGCTTTAATTTCTTTGTAAGAAAAGAAAAAGGAAAGGAAAACAAACTCTCAGAAATAGGGCTTATCAGTGGAAGGAGCAAGGACTACAGACCTAGTGGAAGACTAATTATATTTCAGCAAATTCTTCTATTTAGTGCTAGATGAAGGATGCATTAGAGATTCACAGGACAGACAGACAGTTGGGATGGTTACATTGGCTTCATTGTCAAAGCTTTCTGAGATTTTTTGTTTTTGTTTTTTGTTTTTTTTTTTAAATTTCTGCTACTTTAACCTGCTCCTGAAGAAAAGTCCTTCAGGGACAATGAGCTTAAGAACCTACAGGGAAGCCTGGTTCCTACAGGGCTATTTAAAGTGTGGCATTGGCCAATCAGTAGAGTCAAGAGTTTGTTGCCAGATGACGTTTAAACCTCACCCCCAGGCCGGAAATGAGACCCATTCTTAAGGTCCCTCTATGCAATCCAGAGGTCACTAATGATGTGCCTAAGGATCTGGGGAGGGTATTTAACCCTGTCAGCACTGAGTTAAATTTTCATACCAAGGCCCTTCTGAGCTCAGAATGGACCAATGGCTGTTTCTGTCCTTGCTGGCAGACCTTGACCTAAGTGAGTAGCTTCCTTCCCTATCTCTCTGACCAGTTCTCTCTCTTCTTCGGGCAGTTGTTGATCTCCTTGGGAGGAAGTTGAAGGAGAAATAATTAAAGTAAGTTATGTGAAAACCACAGAATCATAGAATCATAGAATATCAGATTGGAAGGGACCTCAGGAGGTCATCTAGTCTAGCCCCCTGCTCAAAGTAGGACGAATCCCCAACTAAATCATCCCAGCCTGGGCTTTGTCAAGCCTGACCTTAAAAACCTCTAAGGAAGGAGATTCCTCCAGCTCTCTAGGTAACTCATTCCAGTGCTTCACCACCCTCCTAGTGAAAAAGTTTTTCCTAATCTCCAACCTAAACCTCCCCCACTGCAACTTGAGACCATTACTCCTTGTTGTGTCATCTGATACCACTGAGAAAAGTCTAGAGCCACCCTCTTTGAAACCCCCTTTCAGATAGTTGAAAGCAGCTATCAAATCCCTCCTCATTCTTACTAAACAATCCCAGTTCCCTCAGCCTCTCCTCATAAGTCATATGTTCCAGTCCCCTAATCATTTTTGATGCCCTCTACTGGACACTTTCCAATTTTTCCACATCCTTCTCATAATGTGGGGCCCAAAACTGGACAGAGTACTCCAGATGAGACCTCACCAATGTCGAATAGAGTGGAATGATCATGTCCCTCGATCTGATGGCAATGCCCATACTTATGCAGCCCAAAATGCCATTAACCTTTTTGCCAACAAGGGCAAACTGTTGACTCATATCCAGCTTCTCATCCACTGTAATCCCTAGGTCCTTTTCTGCAGAAAATTCATGCACCTGGGGTCCAAACTCTGATTCCAGCAGCATTTGCAAAGCAATTCAATTTTATATAGCATCAGCCGCGTTCTAGGTGGCAAACATTTGAGGTTTATTTCGCTAAAAACTCAACTTAGATTTGCTGCTGTGACTTATTAAAAAGTTGCATGACACCGGGATCTCCTTAAAACCAACTTTTAATTATACTCAACGGAACCCACTCTAAGAATTGTTAACAGATTTCGTGGAGAGTCTGTGATCATAGTTACAAGCAGTGAGAACAGGAAGCAAAATCATTTGTTTCTGGAACTAATGTCCTGTCACTTTAAATGTTAATAGGACCACATCCAGAGCTGGTATAAGTTGACATGGCTGTCTAGACTCCAAATACCAGCTGGGGATCTGGATCACTGATTAACTTCAACAGAGATATGCTGATTTATACCTGCTGGGGACTTGCCCAGTGCTTGATTCCTCTGGGCAGCACTACAGGTGTTCGCCAAGGTAACGGCTCACTAAGCACTATGGTCACAATAACTAGGAGTTCAAAATACACAAACACTTGATGTCACTGGGTTATTAGTATTTTGAACCCAAATCTGCAGCCAGCATTCAAGGGTTTAGGCTTTTTACAGGCTCTGACTGATACTCAAGACAGTAATTCTCCGGAACATTGTCCAGGAGCTGGTGACCAAAGCAGGCCAAGAGAAGGGAGAGAGAGCAGACTCTCACTCCCAGCCACGTGTCAGGGAGTGAGGAAGACCCCATTTCACCCACCCATCCCTCTCCCATTTACCAACCATTCAGAGAGATGGGGAGAGGAAGGGGATTCAGCCATGACTTCCAAGAGATAGTTAGGGAAAGAGGATTGTAAGGAATGATGAAGGAAAAGGGGGAACAGTAGCTGCAACCTCTCGGCTACCCCCACAGCAATCGCTCCCTCCTCCCCCCGCCGCCCACCCCTCTCCCATACACACACATGAAATTCTGTGTATAGTTTCTCCCAAGTTACAGATTGGGCCTGGTGTGCTCCCTACTAATTCCCCTGAAGACTGTATTTTATCTCAACTTCCTCAAGAGCTATGTAAAGTTTCATCTCCAAAGGGGATTTTAATAAATAGCTGAGAAGGTGATATTACCACCTGTCCCATATATTCCATTCAATTTCCTGAGGTTGTCTGGTTTCTGCTTGCCCTGGCTCCTGGGGGTGAGGTCCAGTTAAATAGCCACAAGTTTGTTTTGGGTATTGAAAACCAGTATCATGGTGTGATGACATGTTATCTTTATGTTGAGTCAACAAGTCTTTTACCAAGCTGTTCTTAGGACACAATGACATCACATGCTGATGTGTCCTCATAATGCACAATCAGGACTTCTGGGACATGACTCTTTTTTACTGTGGGCAAATTCCAAGAGGCAGGAACCACAAGTGGAGGAGGTGATAAGCTAGGAGGCCCTTTCCCACCCATCTCAAACCATCCCAAGTCAACATTAACCAAATACCATTGCCTTCTACCAACTGTTTCGCTGGGTGAATGAAATAACCTAGTCATCACAATACAGCTCCTTGCTCCTTGGCCTATTCGTGTTAGCCTTGTCCATGAGAGACAAGCACAAGGGTGAAAAAGTTCAGGGTTGCTCCTTCTCCGGAGATTGCTAGCCATGGTATCCAAGTGGGGTAGCTCTCTTGGGTGGCCTTGATGGCTCATAGTCTAAAAAGATGACCTTTCTGCCAGGGTATGAGATGGGAGCATAGGGAGGGACCATATACATTTGTTTTAGAGGAGTCTTGTATTCTCACAACTGGAGATATGCTCTGCTTTGTGTGTTCTGAATTTCTGGTGGTCACACTCCGAGAGTTTGCAGGAATCTGTTGATTGTGAGGAGAAGTATTCATGTCTCAAATGGAATGTCACTTCCTTAGGAGGGTAAGTAGTGTCATTGTAATTAGTGGAGACAAATCTGAACAGAATGAGCATCTCATCACCAGGATTGTTGTTCTTTTTGTTGGATCGTGGTGTTCAAATGAGGGTGGAGTTGTTCATTATGGGTCATGCACCAGATTTCAAATGTCTTAACCATTGCCACTCACAAACATTCTCTTTTCAGATAGGTCGAAAGAACCCCATTCCATGACTCTCTCCAAAATAGCTCTAATTCCAGAGAGACCCATATTGCACAACCATGTGTGGGCAGCTTAATTAAAATGTACGGCACTGACATGACATAAATGGCACTGTACTTAAACGCAAAGCTAGATGGTTCGGAATGCTGCATGCTACACCTCAGATGCAATAGGCTTTGTTTCTCCCTCGCTCATAATGATAATTGTTTGCAAAGGGACACAGCAAAACAAGGACAGATGAGAAGCGCAAAGGGATTCACACAGTTTTATACTATTTTATAGACAGACATTTTCATTTGACAGATCCTCAGAGTTTGGACATGCCTACACGTTCATGAGAACATAATGTAAAATTGTTACTATTAGCAGTATTGCAGCATTGCCTAGTGGCTGAACTGAAACTGGGACTCCATGTGCTTGGTGCTGTACAAACATAAGTAAGAGACAGTCCCTGCCCTGAAGAGGTTACAGTCTCAAATGGCAAAAACATGGGAGGGAAGCACAGGTTCAGAGAAAGGAAGTGCCTCACCCAAATTCATAATGTAACAGAACCGAGACTAGAACCCATGATTTCAGAGCCGCAGTCCAGGGCTATCGCTGGGTCATACTGCTCCAGTGCTCCTGGGACTATGATAACGATAATCAATAATCTAACTGACAGGATGTATAAAATTGAACAAAGAACTGGAAAAGTTTCCACTTTTCACTGAGCCTTAAATGTTACAAGCGTTCACATTGAACGAGAATAGCAATAGGAGGATTCAGAGAAAATCACTGGGAATTTTCACAGAAAAACCGAACACCCCCGATATTAAACTCTCTTTTCTCTAAAATTCCTGCTGAACAGCATTACTATGCAGAACTCCCATCATTCTACACATCACATTTTCCCTTTCACCCCTAATGTCACTTTTCTGCTCCCTAATTTTCTCATGGAGTTTTTCACCTCCTTATTGCGCAGGGTGTAGATCAAGGGATTCAGCAAGGGGATGACAATGGTGTAGAACACCGTGACCATCTTATCCACCGAGAAGGTGGTGGAAGGTCTTAAATACATGAAGATACATGGCCCGAAAAATATAATCACTACAGCAATATGGGAGGCACAAGTGGAAATAGCTTTGCGATGACCTTCGGAGGAGCGAGTTCTCAAGGAGACTAAGATGATGACATAGGACACAACCAGCACAAGAAAAGAGGTCAGGGAAATCAACCCCGTATTGGCAAGTATCATGATGCCAACAAGATAAGTGTCAGTGCAGGCCAGTTTCAGCAAAGGGTGCACATCGTTACGAATTACACCTGGTAGGACACGCACACAACTGCTGCGAATTATACCTGATAGGACACGCACACAAGTGCTACGAATTACACCTGGTAGGACACGCACACCAATGCTGCGAATTACACCTGATAGGTCACGCACAGTTCGAATCTAGGCTGAGGCACAGAAATAAAGTCACAACTGCAGAGTTCCCAAAAGACACTAAGTTTATTACGCTCGAGCGTGGTGCCCCCCCTGCTAGCCAGGAGGGGACCCTGAATGCAGATTATACAAAGGTTATATACTTTTTAGCAAAGCATGTTGCCCTCGTGCATCGGAAACCTTAGCCAATAAACAAACCCTTGTCTTATCTACCACTTACCCCTGCTTGGTGCATTCCTCGTGCTATACCAGTATGTTAATTACACAGCATGGTCCTAAAGCCATGCATCAGTAACTTTTATTATCAGGATGGGAGGCCTCACATCAAGGCCAAGAGACAGGGAGTTAGAGACTAACAAAAACCAGATACTGGGAGTCAAGGAAGGCTGGAGACAAGGAGGAGGATTTTCACAGGGATTCAGTATCTAAGGATCACTCCTCCTGGTGTATGATATACTGGCATTTAAACAATGGTGGGCCCCAAACCAAAATGGAGTCACATGTGCTAACTTTTCCTTAACAACATCACAGAAATAGTTGTCAATCTCGTTGGGACCACAGAAGGGTAACTGGATGGTCAGGACAGTCTGAACCATGGAATGCACAAAGCCGCCCACCCATGAAGTCATCACAAGGGAGCCACAAACACATCCAGTCATGATGGTTGTGTAATGGAGAGGTTTGCAGATCGCAATGTAACGATCATACGCCATCACTGTGAGGAGGAAGATTTCAGTGCACCCAAAGAAATGGGCCACAAACAGCTGGGCTATGCAGCCATCAAAGGAGATGGTTTTCCTCTCCACAAAGAAGTCTGCAATCAGTTTTGGGGCTGTTACAGAGGAAAGGCACATGTCTACAAAGGACAGATAGCTGAGGAAGAAATACATGGGAGACTTCAGATATTGGCTGCTCTTTACAGTGACAATGATGAGAAGATTTCCCAGCACAGTAGTGATATAGAGGAGTAAAAAGAACACAAAACACACTGGCCATAACTTCTCATTGTGGCAAAGTCCCAAAAGGATGAATTCAGTCACATTCTGTGTGGGCTCCATGTACTCAGTTTAAATGATGGGTATATGGAATACCGCTAATCCACCTGCCATGACACAAGACAAAGATAGAAAGAATCAACACATATTGACCGGTGATGAGGTGAATATCAAGATGCATTGACTGAAGTGGTAGACTTTGTCCAAAAATAAAAATGAGCAATATGTAACTCAAGGAACTAGAGGAAATTGGCTTGAGTTACATATTGCCATGAACAGTATATACTCAAAATAATTAGAGTGGAAAATCTGAAGATGATTCATTCTAGTCTTCCCCCACAATGAATCATCAAAGGCTTTAATTGTAAGTGAAAAACTGAACCTTAACTATGCTTTGCAATCAGCTTTTCCATGATACAAATTCTATTTTATTCTTATTGCGTTGTTAAACACCTTCAGAAGTCCCATTTTTCAATGAAGGACATCTCCTACCTTTGCATGTGAGCACATAAATGCTCACAAAAGTATTGTTTGTACATGCAAATGTGAAACTGAGTTACCTCATTAAGTAACCAAGGATTGAAAACTGGTCTCTGATTATTTTCATCACAAAATTATTTCACAAAATTTACATTTAATTGAAAAGGCATTTTCATTGGAAAAAATGATTTCAGTGGAGAATTTTGGCCAGCTTTACACAAAACCCCAATTGAAACAGTAATTTATCAGCAGGACTCACGGATACACTTTAGATTATTTATGCTGTTCCAAAAATGCAAAGCAGCCACAAACACTGTTCGATTGACCAGTTAACTCTTTCGCCAGAGGGGTGGAAAGCAGCTGAAGCCGATGAGCGAACTTGACCCTTTGTGTGTTATCATTTGATTTGCGGTGACTGAATAAAATTTTCTATGTTCAAAAGAAAGTATTTATGAGTAGTCATAAGCAGGAATGGATTAAATATCATTTGGGGGTGGTCATTGCTTACAGACTAGCATCTAATAAACCTATTTTATACATTTCAAAACTAAAATTAAAATAACAAATAAAAATAATGTGAAGATTTTTCAAGAGAGAAGCTTGTAATGAAGATTTTAGACACATTCATCGTACTTTAGGTGAATTAGTTGGAGACTGATTGATGGAGCGGGGAATTAGATTGGAATGAATCCTAATAAGGTAGTTTTGTTTTACTTTTACATTGGTAGAGCTAAGCAGGGAAAGAAGAGCATAAAATACTCACCCTTGCTGGAAAACTCACATGGGTTGCATTTGCAGATCTTAAAATGTACCTGGACGGTGATGGGTTTTATTTCCCCTGCTTCTAACCTGCTGATGTAGCAAAGGTGTTCAGGTCTGAACAACAGTAAGTAGTTGATGAGGGTGATCAGATACTCCCTGCTATATAGATTTTCTGCTTTGTACATTTCATCCTCACACCCGTGAAATAGTTGTTGAAGAAGCACTCCCCTATATAGCTTTAAACATGTATTTGAAGCAAACTTTCAAAGTTCTGCTGAGAGTTAGTCCCTTTCAGTCTTCAAACTCCATTTTTCAATAGGACCCCCTCCCCACCCCGCCTCCTCATACTTTCACCAAGTGATGGCCTTAGAGATCCTGCTATTGTCCAGTTCCTTCTACTCGCACCCAACTACATAACAAGAGGGCACAGGAAATCCTGTGTCAAGTTCCTCATTTCACTCCTATGCTTAGAAAGGTGACCTTGAGAAGTTGGGCAGAAGGCCACAAGCTCTGTGGACCTGCTGTGTGTGAACAGCCATTGGATCAGGCCTTAACCGAAGAGAGCTCATGCCCAGCATAATCATTGGAAAATCACTGGGTTGACTTCAGTGGCATTTGCATCACCCCTTAATCACTGATCTATGGGATCGAACAACCTTTGGATTTCTCTTCTACGTGATAATGTGACTCAGCTGTGACAGGACCAGGGCTTGTGGTGTCCGTTCTCAGAGACACCCTGGCTGCACAGGATGATGGGAATTCTGAGGAAATGCCTGGTGATGTGGCCACTGCTGCTTACATTCCAGGATGGTATCTTGTATTCCACCCTATGCTTAGTCCGGGATGCCACCGCTGTGGAAAGTTTGGGAAGTCTGGCAGCATCACTGGTGCTGGGACCTCCCACCCCATATAGGCACTTGATACCATTCACAGTGAAAGCGTAACCCACTCGTGAATGTGCGTATCCGACCTTCCTACATGCCTGTCAAGGTTCCTTCCCCACTCTGAACTCTAGGGTGCAGATGTGGGAACCTGCATGAAAGACCCCCTAAGCTTATTCTTAGAAGCTTAGGTTAAAAACTTCCCCAAGGTACAAACTTTGCCTTGTCCTTGAACAGTATGCTGCCACCACCAAGCATGTTAAACAAAGAACAGGGAAAGAGACCACTTGGAGATGTCTTCCCCCAAAATATCCCCCCCCCCCAAGCCCTACACCCCCTTTTCTGGGGAAGGCTTGATAATAATCCTCACCAATTTGTACAGGTGAACACAGACCCAAACCCTTGGATCTTAAGAACAATGAAAAATCAATCAGGTTCTTAAAAAAGAATTTTAATTAAAGAAAAGGTAAAAGAATTACCTCTGCAAAATCAGGATGGTAAATACCTTACAGGGTAATCAGATGCAAAAGATAGAGAATCCCTCTAGGCAAAACCTGAAGTTACAAAAAGACACAAAAACAGGAATATACATTCCCTCCAGTACAGCTTATTTTACCAGCCATTAAACAAAAGGAAATCTATTCCATTTTCAGCTAGAATACTTACTAACTTAACAGGAGTTGGAAGGCTGCATTCCTGATCTGTTCCTGTCAAAAGCAAAACACAGCCAGCCAGAATCCTTTGTTCCCCCCACTCCAGATTTGAAAGTATCTTGTCCCGCATTGGTTATTTTGGGTCAGGTGCCAGCAAAGGCTACCTAAGCTTCTTAACCCTTTACAGGTGAAAGGATTTTGCTTCTGGCCAGGAGGGATTTTATAGCACTGTGTATAGAAAGGTGGTTACCCTTCCCTTTATATTTATGACAGTGCCAAAGTGCTGAAGCTGTTGCCCTTTAATTTAAGCTGTACCAACTCCTGCCTTTACTTCCAGAGATCCCCAGTTATATCCATGGTGTGCTGGCTGTCACAGATGGAGGCTGCTACAAAAAACAATAGTGGGACCATGTAGTCAAGGATATCAAATATGTTTGTACTTCATATGCTTTTGCAAAATCTGTACATGGGAGTGGGGAGGGGAGAGAACATGGCTTGATGCCCTCTCTTCTACTTATACAGCCATAGACAAACCGGCCCATCGGAAGAGAAGAGTTCATTATTCCCTGTGGCAACAGGACGTTGTGTCATGAAACCACAATTGCAATGATATGGCCAAATTGAGCAGATAGAGCAGCCATTTGAGACAAACAAACTATGCCATTGACATTGTATTCATTGGGAATTTATCCCCTTTTTTGCTAAGTGAATCATTCATAAAAGCAATACTGATTTTTTGTGACCATACTCGTAACTCTTAAGTGTACATGACAATGTTCAGATGGGTAAATTTCACTTCTGAGTTGTTCACAAACTGTTCGCTTGGACTCTTCTCTCTTTGTATAGAATTTGGCAGGTTGGTGGCCTGCCAATCCCTTCCTAACTCTAAGTGGGGATCCCAGCTGGCTTCAGTAAACTCCCGCTTTCCCAGTCATGAATGGAAACAATGGAAGGGCTGCAGAAGCCTCTTGATGCCCCTTTTAGGTCAGAGGACAGAGGAGCTAAGCAAGGAAATTATCCATGTACTTGTTTGGAGACACTGTCCGTCGGCCGTGGTGCTTTGTCAGGTCAGCTGGGGCCTGACTGACTCACCCTGCCGAGCTGCTGTTTGTGACTTCCAAGGTGTCTGCCCTATAGCACAGGGAGGCCAATTCCTCAAAATGGGTCCACTAAATGACCTGCCTCAGCAGAGCAAAGCACAGCACAGAGCCCTCAGTTATCCTTGCCTGGTGGCTCTGCTGGCCCTCCTTCTCTTGCTGACCATCCAGGAAAGCTGTGCCTTGGTTTTCCCCCCCTCTGAAAAGCAGTTGTGAATCACTTTCACTCTCCAACTCACCCATTGCTGACTCAGTTTCCCCCCTTGCTGTCCCTGCTCCTGCCCTCTAGGTAGCCCTACCTCCTGGCACTGTATCACCAGGGTGGAGGGGTGCTGCCTGCTCCCAGCCTGGTCTTAGGGCAGCCGCAGAGGCTGAAGAAACATTGGGGACTGAGGCATCGTTATGGCAGGAGCATGCCTAGCTTCAAAATTTCCTTTGGGCAGCCAAGCATTAGCTCCTATGCTATATCCCCACAGGATTTGCCCAGTACTGTCAGGGATGAGGCTGGTGAAGGGGCCTGAGGTACGATACCCGATGACCCATGCCTTGGTGGTGGTCTGTGTTTGCAAGCACTGTGCAACCAGAGAGTGGCCGCACCAAATGGAAGAGATGAGCACAGAATCCGTATGTCCAAGATGGTGGAGAGGGTGAAGGAATCTCCTGCCTCTCCCGCTGAATAGACACAAGGCTCAGAGTGTCCCTTTGTGGCACCCCGAAGCGAATAACCCACCCAAACCCTTATTTCTGACAACTTAGCATGAGCTAAAAGCCAACAAGCTGTAAAGTTACAGCAGAAATATTGAGAGTGAATGAAAGCTTATGCTCTAATACATTTGTTAGTCTCTGAGGTGCCACAAGTATTCATTTTCTTCATGTAGTGGTAGCATGTCATTTCCTGAGATAATGAGTTTCCAGAGGCATTTCAGGGTGTCTCCATTGGAAGCAATCAGTGAAGAGGCAGCTAAGCCATATTGCTTTGGACACATCTTTCAGGCAAACTTTTGGTGCGTTTTGACAGTTAAGCCCAGATTTTTAGACATTTCTCTGCTTGGTGTTACAACGGCTAAGGGACTTAGCTACACTGCCTTTTCAAAACTGACAGGTACTAAGCAGCCTGAGTCACACTGAAACTTAGATTGCTAAATTCCATTTTCAAAAGTGATTTGGACACTTAGAAGCCTTAGTCACTC